AAAGACTTAGATGATGGTGGTAGACAGATGGAATGTTCTCAGGAAAGTGAAAATGCTTGGAATGAGTGCTTTTTAAAAAAAAATATATTTTATTGATTTTGTACAGAGAGGAAGAGAGACAGAGAGCTAGAAACATCGATGAGAGAGAGTTATCGACCAGCTGCCTCTTGCACACCCCCTACTGGGGTGGGGGTATGCCCGCAACCAAGGTACATGCCCTTGACCAGAATTGAACCTGGGACCCTTCAGTCCCCAAGTCGACGCTCTATCCACTGAGCCAAACGGGTCCTGGCGGAATGAGTGCTTTAAGAACCATCTGGTCTGCCTGTAAATGGATACCAGGATGGGAAGGTAATTAAGCCCAATGGGGAAATAAAGATGTTTGCTTATGACATTGCAGCCTAAATGGTTCCTGGGGTCAATGATCAGAGACTGTCTCCCCAGCAACAAGACTAGTGCCTGGCACACAGCAGGTACTCAATACAAATTTGTTGAATGAATGGAGGCCTGTCCACATGATCTATTTTATACAGAGTTACCCTGGTCACCATTTTTTTGTTTGTCATCCATCTATCGTCAATCCCTCTCCCAATCCGGTGTTTATGTGCTTACCCTGTGTGAGTGCTAAACCGTGGCTACAGGGGAATAAATGGTAAACACAACATAGCCCCTTCGAAGAGTCAGTCACTTCTGTGTTCCAATGGACTTTTTAAAGGCGGGGGAATAGCCTATAACGGTTTGGCTCAGTGGTAGAGTGTCGGTCTGCGGACTGAAAGGTCCCCGGTTCGATTCCGGTCAGGGGCATGTACGTTGGTTGCGGGCACATCCCCGGTAGGGGGTGTGCAGGAGGCAGCTGGTTGATGATTCTCTCTCATCGACGTTTCTAGCTCTCTATCTCTCTCCCTTCCTCTCTGTAAAATATCAATAAAATATATTTAATTTAAAAAAAAAAGGCGGGGGAATAAGCAGTAGATGTGACAGAATAGCATGAACACATGCTGCATTCTCATAGGCCTTTTAAACACCAGACTCTTCGCCTTCGGCAAATCCTGCTTACTGCTCCCATTGAAGACTCCAAGTCCATGTGCTTCCGAAAGCAAATTTCCATCTTCCTGTCCAGATGTGGTGTAAGCATTGTTCACTGCTTGGGCTAGCTTCATGTGTGAGTCCATCTGAAACAGCACCTGCTTGTTTCTTTGGCAATGAACCCAACTAAAGCTTCTTCCAATGCTTTCCATTCCTCCTCACCTCACTTCAGGATGCTCCAAGAGGGCTAAGGTGAAAGTCATGGGCCACTTCAAAGCTGTGTGGTAAGAACTGGATTGTAAGAACTTTCAGTATGGTGCCCCAAGGCAAATTCTGGGCACTTGTTACAACGGTCACATCAAGAAAAGCAAGCCATTCTCCACCATCATCTCTGCAACACCTCCACCTCCAATTTTCTTCTGCTGGTTTTTAGAATAAGAAACAATTTTCTTCTCTGGCATAATTTCAAAGAGAAGAATATAAATATCCTGGCCAGTGTGACTCAGTAGTTGAGGGTAAACGCAGGGCACATGCCCGGGTTACAGGCTTAAACCTCAGTGGGGGATGTGAGGAAGCAGCCAATCTATGATCCTCTCACATCTTGGATGTTTCTATCACTCTCCCTTCCTCTCTGAACTCAATAAAAACATGTATTATAAAACTTATAAAAGAATATAAGTAAAGGGCCCAACAAAGAATCTTGGAAATTGCTCCTCCTCAAAGAACAATGGGACCACTTATTCCAGAATACAGAGATGGGTCTGTATTCTAGAGCAGTGGTCGGCAAACTCATTAATCAGCAGAGCCAAATATCAACAGTGCAACAATTGAAATTCCTTTGGAGAGCCACATTTTTAAACTTAAACTTCTTCTAATGCCACTTCTTCAAAATAGACTCGCCCAGGCTGTGGTATTTTGTGGAAGAGCCACACTCAAGGGGCCAAAGAGCTGCGGTTTGCTGACCACGGTTCTAGACCGGTGCTTCCCAAAATGTGGTACACGCACCCCCAGGGGTACAGGAAGAGTTTGGTGGGGATACGCACTGCACCGTGCTTAGCTGCGCCTAATTCTACGTTCTCCTGAGTACGAGGGACTCAGCGTTACGAAAATTATAGAAGGGGTACACATATGTCAAAAGTTTGGAAAACACTGTTCTAGAGTCACCTGAAATTTGGAAGAACCATTCTTTACTATTTCCAGGTTTGGTTTCTGTGTTTGCTTTAATTCTACTTAGCTATATGGTATTATTTGTTTGTTTGTTTTTAAGAATCCGAAAGTTCTTTCCTTTCCACAGTGCTTTTCTCTGCGTGCAAAACTTTGGTGATATCCAGGCCTGGGCCTTTGCATCCCATGTGACTCTATGTTCTGCAACGTGCTTTCCAAGTCCATTTCTCTCTGCAGTAAGTCACAACACTATAATACATTCTCTGGGAATAGTATGGTTCTCTCTCCCTTTATAGTGACTGTACCTACAGTTATGCAGACATACCACTGACAGCACCGCTTTGATTCTGACTCCTCCTCACAGTGTTTGTGTGAAACCAAGGCACAGAGACGTGATCTACCCAGTCACTCAGTAAGTCAGAAAACAAACTGAATGAAGGGCCAGGTAAGATCCCCTATGTATCTTCCAGTGCCTTATCCGAAACACCAGATTGATCTTCTCATATGATTACAACTACTTTGTTGTAAGTAGTTTTAGGTAGAACCTCCTGTTAAGTTTTCAAAAGCCCTCTTGCAAATCAGGAACCACAAGGTAATTAACAGTATCACACCAACATTTTAGTTAAATGCCCCCGACTCACAGATAATGCCAATAATTACAGCTCACTGACATCCTGGTCATTGACAAGAAAATTTGAAGAAAAATCCACCCACTCAAGAAATAAACCTTGGCATATCTCCTTTCCTGGTTTCATAACATCTTAAGTATAATACTTAAGCACAGCTGCCTTCTGCACACTACTCCTGTACCTGTTGGCACATGATTAGCATTGGGGGAAATGACAAAATGTGTGAGAGTATGTGTGTGTGTATGTGTGTGAATACCAGACATTTTAAGGACAATTCTGCCCAGCAGAATATACATGATATATGCCTACCCTGATTTTTTTTTTTTTTGGTAATTTTTATTTCCTGATTCTGGTTTAATGTAAAAAGTAATCGTTCCTGATGAAGGCAGAGTCATTGTATGGGGGTACTGCTGGGGGCTGATTTTGGCTTCATGGAAGGGAAACTCTCTAGGGGTTTAAGTTGCCTGAAGACAACCTAACAGGACTTTTTGGACCAGGGAGTGGCATGGTCGTACAAGTATTTCCCCCCAGAGGCTAAATGACCGTCTGTGTGTGGGGCACTGCTTCTTCCTTCCAACCCTAGGCACCATTTTCCCAGGAACAGACCAAGCCAACAGCAGCCCTCCTGCCTCCCAACTCCAGGTCAAAAAAGGCACAAAGAAGACCAACAAATAATACTGAGGTGCTGCTTTGGATCTGGAAAGCCTTGAGGTACCAGGAGAAGAATACTGGCCGGTGGGAAAGGTGAGGCACAGAGAAACTAATCAAACTCTTTCAGTCATAGGTGAGACGGGATTTAAAGGGGGATGAGAGACCGGTTTGGCTCAGTGGATAGAACGTTGGTCTGCAGACTGAGGGGTCCCAGGTTCAATTCCAGTCAAGGCCATGTATCTTGGTTGCGGGCACATCCCCAGTAGGAGGTGTGCAGGAGGCAGCTGATCAATGTCTCTCTCATTGATGTTTCTAACTCTCTATCCCCCTCTTTTCCTCTCTGTAAAAAAAATCAATAAAATATATGTAAAAATAAAAAAATAAAGGGAGAAGAGAAGATACACTGCTAACCACAGTGAGCACAATTCTCAAAAGCCAAGAGGCAATTCCAGCTCTCAACCACCACAGTCCATTGCCCTTAGAGCCATTGCCGTGATTCCTTCACAGAGGGAATCCTACAGTCTGAACTCCCCAGAGCCAACCCTTGGGGCTGGAAATTTAGGCAGGACTGGCCTGGGCAGGCACATAAGGCAGCTCTGCTTCTTAAGGCATGGCTGCTGTCTGTGAGAAGTGAGCTCCACACCAAGAAGTGGGCATCAGACCCTCTTCCCCTGAAACTACCCTGCAAGAACGCTTAATCCTGTGGAACCCCACTGCCTGAGGAACCCACCTCCCCCAGGCGCTGGGGGCTTCCGCTAAAGCTAAACAGCGTTACCAAGCCACCTGATTTGTGTGTGTGTCACTTGGGAGAATGAGAGAGAGGGGAGCAAAAGACAAATTGATTATCATTTGTAGATGATTGTCTAACTAGAAAATTTAGGGGAATAAAAAAATCTATCAGGACAAAGACCAGAATTTGCTTAGTGGCAAATTCAAAGTCAAGCATACAAAAATCAATAGTTGTGGGTTTTTTTTAGTCACTTGGGTGTGGCCTAACACCTTCCAGTTGCTGTGCTTTTCTGTGGGCCTCTGAGCTTTGTGAAACTTGCCATATTTTTAAAAGATGGAGGAGCCAGGGAGATGCCCCCTCAGCTGCAGTAAGGGCAGTGGCCTCAGACATCAATGTACAAGAGGTGCCTGGGATGACTGCTGCAATAGAGGGGCAATCATCCCTGCGCTCTCTCCCAGGGACCCTCCCCTCAGTCCCCACCCAGCCCCTGTCTCCCAGCTCTTTTGTATTCCAACCAAAAAGACACACAAGATGATAGCTTGGCAAAAGCTGGTGCAGGAGCCACTACAAGTGGATACGGCCAAAGATTGTGCTTTTGTCATTTCCATACGAAGTCAGTTTTTAAAAACAAAGGCAATGACAGGTCTGGCGTGTTAGTCCTCTTATTGCCTTATTGGTCGGAAAGTTCGAGAGGTGTATGTGCTGCGACCCAACGGAGAACTCCCCAGGTTTGGTCCAAGTGGGCCAAGGGATGCTCCGCGGGGCTGAGCGGGGCCGCCTGGCCCTCGCCGGGGTGCCGGTCATTTGCGGTCCAGGCTGGCGGTCAGCTGGGCCTCGCGCACCATGCGGTCGAAGGAGCGCGTGTTGGTCTCCTCGCGCACCTTCTCGCGCACGTGGAAGGAGGCCCGGGCCGTGGAGCGCGCGCTCTCCAGCGCGCTCCGCCGCTCCCGCGACAGCTGCTCGCTGCGCTCCAGCTTGCGCCCGATGGCTTGGAGCAGCTCCTGCCGGCGGCAGTCTTCGTCCCTCTCCACCTTCTCCTTTTTGGCACGCTGCGCTCGCTCCTTCTCCAGACGGCTCTGCCCCACGCGCCGCGCCTTCTGCTGCACCGCCTCCTCCGCCACTTGCGTCGCGTGCTGCAGCCGCCGCTCGCCGGCCCGGGCCAGCGCCTCCAGGTGCGCCTGGTGTTCGCGGTCTTTGCGCTCCGCCGCCTCCTTGGCCCGCCGACCCTGCAGCTCCTCCCTCCGGGCCCGCTCCCGCAACTCCCGGGCGCGCTGCTCCACCAAGTGCTCGTAGTTCTCCTGCGCGCGCCCCAAGCTGGCCTCCAGGGAGCTCCGCAGGCCCTCGCGCTCCTCGTGCTCTTGGCGGGCCCGGCCCTGGAGCAGCGCCTGGTGGCGCGCCCGCTCGGCCCTGCTCAGTTTCCGCTTCTCCCGCTGCAGCTGACCCTCCTGCCGCTGCTTGGTACCAGCCGCGCGCTGGGCGCGCTCCCTGCGGACTTGCTCGGCCCGCTCGCGCCCTTCCTGCAGGCCCTCCTCTCGCTGCTTCAGGTTCTGCTCCTGCTGCAGCTTGCGCAGCCGGTCCTCGCGGGCGGCGCGCTCCGCCCGCTCCCGCCGCAGCAGGCTCTGCCGCTCGGCCAGCTCCCGGCGCCGCTCCTCGCTGAGCTCGCACTGCTGCTGCCGTCGCCGGGCCGCCTCGCGCTCCTCGCGGCCCCGGCGGCCGCGCCGCTCCTCCACCTGCGCGGCCCAGGCCCGGCGACCCTTCTCCAGGGCGCGCTGCTTCTCGCGCTCCTCGCGCTCCCGGCGCCGCTCGGCGCACGCGCGCTGCCGCTCCCATTGGCCGTGGGCCGCGGCGCGCTGCTCCAGCAGCAGGCGCTCCTCCTGGTGCCGCGCCAGCATCAGCGCCGCGATCTTGCGGTCGCGCTCGGGGACCCCGCGCAGGCCCCGCTCGGCGCGCACTTGGCGCACGATGCGCTCCACGTGCTTGGCGGTCTGCGGCGAGTGGCTCAGGTCGCCGAGGCTGAAGCTGCGCGCCGTGAGTGGCGCCAGGGCCAGGGCCGAGGGGCGGCCCAGAGGGTGAGGGGCCGAGGACAAAGAGCCCGCGGGGCAGCTGTTCCGGGCGGACGCCCGCGGGGGCCAGCGCATCTCCCGCAGGCTCTCCCCGCTGTAGGAGGAGGACGACGCGCCGGACTCAGAACTGAGGGCGCCCTCCCGCTGCCGGCGGGACAGGGAGTCCAGGGAGTGGCTTTTCCTACCGGCCCGGGAGCCCGCGGTCGCGGGCGCAGGTTGGGGCCGAGCCGGGGACGGACTGGAGGAGGCCTTGCGGGCCGCACGCGGCGCGGGCGAGGCCGGGAGGCTGGCGCTGCTGCAGCCGCTGCCGCTGCCGCTGCTGCCGCCCGCGCTGGAGGCCGGGATCGGGGCCGCGGCGGCCGCGTGGCCCAAGGGCGTGAAGAGGCGCCGCTTCTCTTCGCGCACAATGCGCTCGCGCTCGGCCCGGCACTGCTGCAGCTTGGCGCGCCGCTCCGCCTCGTAAGCCTCGTACAGGCCGGTGGCCACGCGCATGGAGCGGCCCGGGGCCTCGCGCACCAGGTCGGCGAGGGCCCGCGGCAGCAGCTCCACCGGTTTGACGGCGCAGCGGGCGCAGGCCTCGAGCGAGCGGGGGCTGGTCAGCACGTAGCGGCTGCCCTCGGCCTCGGGACAGTCGAAGTTGAAGAGGTCGAGGTGCAGCAGCGGGGACTGCTCCCGCCGCCCGCCTTCTGCGCATGGGACCTCAGCCTTGCGGGGCGCCGCCGCCGCCGCCGCCGCCGAGGCCGAGGCCGAGGCGGAGGCCGAAGAGGCCGCGGGCTGCTCGGCCCCCTGGGCGCCGGGGGGCACGGACGCGGCGGCTCCGTCTCCTCCGGAGCCTCCAGCCTCGGCTCCCGCCTTCTCCTCTGCAGGTATGGGGTCCACCATAGCGGAAACGTGTCCTTTTGTGGGGTCTCTGTGAATGACATGGAGGGATATTGTGGGGTACATTTGAGAGCAGTCCCCCTCCCCCCATTCATATCCATCCCACCCCACCTTAAGCCGCTTTGGTATTAGGTCTAGAGGCCCCATGGAACGTAAATCATAATTAGGAAGCCCTGAAAACCCAGACAGCCGGGGGGAGGGGGAATACTGATGCACAGAGAGCAGCCTCCATCTCCCGGAGCCCCGGAGTGCGGGTAGAGGCGGTGGCCAAGCTCCCCAGGGCGTCTGGCCCGTTAGATGCTTTTTCTTCCTGCTGCAAGTTAAGATGGGGGGGGGGGGGAGAAAATGGAGGTGCAGGCAGGAGCCGGGCAGGGAGGCCGCTGGCGGATTCCCGGGAGGATTAGCCTATTTGTTTGTAGCTTAGGCGGGCAACCGGGGATGCAGCTTTTCAAGAACAAAAAAAGGAAGAGGCCTGTCCATCCCCCACAGTGCACTGCTGCGAAGACCCTATTTGCCTAGGGGAGAAGTTATGGTTGACTTCTCGCTGCCAAAGGAGAGCCAGGCATGGGGTCCAGAGGTGATGGAGGGGCTGAGAGAAATGCCTCCATCTCAGAAGGCCGCTCCGGGAGGGGTGATGGATCTCCTGCCTCCTGGTTAGGTTTGCTAGGAGCTGTGCCCCCTGCTTTCCCCCACTGCCACCCCCCTGTTTGCCTCGGATGAAGAAGGTCCTCCCAGATGCACCTGATCCCCTCCAAGTCTGATGTGCTAAAGGCACCCTCCACCCCCCAGTCTAGGCTCAGACACCTGCCCCCAGATGCCCTCCGAGTCCCCCCACTCCCGCCCCCAATCACACACACACCGTATCCCAGCGAGGTGGATTTGAGGGGGTCTCGTAGCCCCTCCGCCGCTCCCGTCCCTGAGCCGAGCCGGTCCACTCACCGCACGTCCCGGGATCCGGCCCCGCGCGAAGGGCTTTTGTTCGCAGCTCGCCGCGCTCCCCGCGCCGCTCAGTCCCCGCGCCCGCGGGGTCGGATTACTGCCGGCTGCAGCCTCAATGGGAGCCCCCGCTGCCGCCGCAGCCGCCACCAGCGTCTCTCCATGGGGCCCGCACAACCGCCTACTCGCGGAAGGGGGAGAGTGACAAGGCTTCCCTAAAATAACGCAGCTCCTCTCCCTTTCCTCTCACCGATTCTCAGAAAGAGAATTGGTTCCATCGCTGCCGCATCCACCGCCGCCTCTCCAGCCATGAAAGTACCGCAGGTTTTGATACGCCTAGCGCCTCCTGGTGGACACTCGAGAGTGTTGGTTGGTTTGATTAGGGGGAAGAAGAGGAAATCAAACGCGCGCACACATTCCCCCCCCACACACACACATATTTATATATTATATACTAATTCCGATACTTTAACTGGGGAATAGTTTGGTGTATTTCTCATGGGGATTATTAAGAAGCAACATTGATAGTGAATAATGGGAGGGAGATATGGCTCCTGATCCAAACTGTGATATTTTTTTTAAGAAAAACTAAGGACATTCCAATAGGTTTGAGGCAGACATAAGATGTGACCAGTGTTTAATGCAACATCTTAGGACTTCCTGACTCAAGATAACACAAATTAGTGAGTATTAGTACCACTTAGTGAGTGTTATTTTGAGACACCTTCTCCCTTCACCCCTATTTTGAGTGATAGTGGCCACAGGAGTCAGGAGTCTTTAAGGGGGAGGGGGTTGGAGGTTGGGTAGCATATAACAGCAGGGTGAGCCATGTTGCTAATAACCTTCACATTGTCAGGCTGCAAGGAGCAAGTGAAAGGCTTAAAGCAGGGAAACGATTTGAATGGATTTACATATTAGGGATATAACGCTGACAACAATGCAGTGAGTGCTTTAAGCAGGCGGAAAGGAGGCAGGAAGCCCAGTAAGCTGGACATTGCAGTCACGCCCAAAGCAGCAATGATTGGGACCTGAAGGGGAACAACAGTAGGAGCAGCGTGGTGAGAGTAAGGGGGACAGCTCCCTAAAATAGAGAGTAAAGCAATACTCAACGATGGCTGGGCTCAGGGGTGTGAGGAGCAGCGAGGGGTCAGGGCTGACGTACAGGAGCAATGAGGTGTCTGGTTGTATCACAGTTTGAGAGCGTGGAAGCAGGAGGGAGGATTTGACGGTTGGCATGGAGGGCCATGGACAGATGGGTTCCTTTTGGACCACTGGAGGTGGAGGTGTTGCTGTTCACAGGTGGCTGGGTCAGTGGTGTCAGAGGCCTGGACTGGACCTAGAGTTTCAGGCATCATCACTGTACTTGAGGTTCCTAAAACCAGCAGTGTGAGTCAGAGCACCAGGCAGGGCTGGTGGAGCCATAGGGAGGCGGGCAGGTCATTGATGGGGCTGCTCAGGGACCAGGAGGCCATACAAGGGACCCATGAGGGCAGACAGGAAAGCATGGTCTGGTGGAAGCTAACGGCAGAGCACTTCAGAAGGAGGGTGTGCCCCAGGGCTAAGGCTGCAGAGGTCCAGGAGATGTTGCCTGGAATCATATATCCACCAAAACTGGTGGTCAGAGCGTCTTTGGTAACATCAGCAAAAACAGCTGCAGTATTGTGCTGGGGGCTCATGCCAATCCGCAGGGAGTTGAAGTGCAACGAGAGATGAGAAAGTGAGAGTTTTTGTTCCTTGACATTTGTGTGAGAGTGTTAAAGACTGAAGGGTGTGAGATTGTGTACTACTTGCATGTGAACGGGGTCATAGATGCTGGCAGTAGATATGAGAGTCTTGGATCAGAAACAAAGAACTTGGTGATGTGTGGTACAGCAAGCGGCATAAGGGTAATGTTTCTGTTGGTTCACCTTGCTCTCCAAGTCCCATGGAGCAATGAAGAGGTGGGCTCAGATAGATACTGCACGTAAGGTGCGGGTGGTGTGTCGTAGCTGAAAGAGCCTAAGCTTAGTAAACACTAATCTTTTCAAGGGGGTTTAGCCCTAGCTGGTTTGGCTCAATGGATAGACTGTTAGCCTGAGGACTGAAGGGTCCCAGGCTTGATTCTGGCCTGGGTTGCGGGCTCCATCTCCAGTAGGGGGTGTGCAGAAGGCAGCCAATCAATGATTCTCTCTCATTGATGTTTCTATCTCTTTATCTCCCTTCCTCTCTAAAATCAATAAAATACATTTTTTTAAAATAAAAGCAAGGCAGACAACCCTATGGCTATAAGAAATAAATGGACATTAGGGAACTATCACTTCCTTAAAATAAATAAATAAATAAAATAAATAGATAAATAGATAAATAAATAAATAGGTTTTAAAGCAAACCTGTTCAACCTTTTCTTAAGAGGGAGGCTTGCCAAAACCGGTTTGGCTCAGTGGTAGAGCCTCGGTCTGCCGACTGAAAGATCCCGGGTTCAATTCCAGTCAAGGGCATGTACCTTGGTTACAGGCACAGCCCTGGTGGGTGTGCAAGAGGCAGCTGGTCGCTGTTTCTCATCTACATTTCTAGCTCTCTATCTCTCTCCCTTCCTCTCTGTAAAAAAATCAATAAAAATATATATTTTTTAAAATTTTTTTAAATCAATTATTAAAAAAAAAGAAAAAAGAGGGAGGCTTAAGAGTTATACACACTAGTCAAATGCCAGCTGAGCCAGGCTGTGTGTTTTGAGGCAAGTTTCTTAGATCCTCTGAGCCTCAAATTCTTCAAAAGAGGAATAAATAATATAGATAGAGATATACCCCTAAAAATAACAATTAAGAACCCTCTTAGATCCTTTAATATAATAGCTCTCAGTCAGTTTGGGCTGCTGTAATGAAGTATCATACACTGACTGGCTTACTAGTAGACAACAATTTCTCATAGTTCTAGAGATCAGGAAGTCCAAGATCAGGGGGTGGGCAGATCTGATGCCTGGTGAGGACTCACTTTCTGGTTTGAGGATGGCCATTGTCTTGTTTTATCCTCACTTGGAGGAAACCAGAGAGATAGCAAGTTCTCGCCTGTCTTTCTTGGACAGGACACAAATCCATCATGAGGGCTCCATCCTCATGACCTAATCACATTCCAAAGGCCCCATCTCCAAATACCATTGCATTGAAGTTCAGGGTTCCAACATATAAATTGGGGGGAGATGGGAGACAAACATACAGTCCTTAGCACTCACTTATTTTGGGCAAAAAAAAACCCACCCCACCTTTATAGTGTAGGCATTACTGTCATTTAAATTCCTTTTGATCAGCCCCCACCACCCACCTCAGTTCTGTGCACTTGTCTTCTATTCCCTTTCTCTCTCTCTCTCTCTCTCTCTCTCTCTCTCTATATATATATATATATATATATATATATATATATTATATATTATATATATACACATATATATTTGTTTGTTTGTTTTACAGAGAGGAAGGGAGCAGGATAGAGAGTTAGAAACATCGATGAGAGAGAAACATCGATCAGCTGCTTCCTGCACACCCTCTACTGGGGATGTGCCCACAACCAAGGTACATGCCCTTGACCAGAATCAAACCCAAGACTCCTCAGTCCCCAGGCCAACGCTCTATCCACTGAGCCAAACAAGTTAGGGTCCATTCCCCTCTTAATATAATTCTAGTCAAAGAATAGAGATGATTCACTCCGAAGTTCTAAATCAGAAGTTGGTAAACTATAGGCCGCATCCACTGGCTGTTTGTAAATCAAATTTTATTGGAACATAATCATGCTTATTTGTTTACATATTATTTATACTGCTTTTCATGAAGAAAAAAATTAAATAGTTTTGACAAAGATTGTATGACTCCCAAAGCTTGTATTTACTATCAGGTTCTTTACAGAAAAATATTACCAATACCTGTTTTAATTACTGATAACTGCCTGTGGCTGTTCTCTGTTTTCTTACACCTCCAAATTCACTCTTTACCTGCTCTGGGATAAAGGATTGTAGGCAATTTCTACTTGAAAATGAGCACGATGCTAAGGTTGGCCAGTAGAGGGAGCTGAAGGGATGTTGCAGGAGGAAGGTGCTT